ATGATGATGATGATGATGATGATGATGATGATGATGATGATGATGATGATGATGATGATGATGATGATGATGATGATGATGATGCAAGTGTGCCATTGGGGGTGCGACTGGGCCATGTCTGACAATATCTCTAACCATTGATGTGGCCCGTATCGGGGTCGCCATCCAGGAAGACGGCAATGGCTAACGCAGCTGAGCTTGCTGGCAATAGCTTTTATACTTCACCGCCAAGTCATTGTTTGATCGCCTCTGGCTTTCTTCCAACCTTTACGTGGTTGTGCTAAAAGAGCACTTCGAGGAATTCAGTTGACCGACATAGGCAGCACGATTCTGTCGTACTTTATAGAGTGCTTCAATAATCTGCAATCGAAAAGGTCACCACATATGTCTGTGTCCTAATGTGTAACGTAAGAACAGTGTGTTTGTGATTTTAGTACGAAGGAAGAATTACCGGAAGCGTTTTTCGTCCAAAAATCCTCTATGGATATCTTAGAATCTATTATTTACTTCGTTTACGTTACCTGTTTCAACAGTAATGTTAGTTTTGCACCGTGAGATCACAAAATCAAAACCGTCCTCCTTAGGAAGGCAAACCTACTGGTGTCTTACGCTACATTTCAGATTTGGCTGTGTCTGTATCAGATTTTACTTGCAAACCACTCCAGTTTGCGTTACGACTGTTCGGTCGGACACAGAAGAGCAGCTTTGTTACGCATACGGTCATATTTGACCGAAGTTAAACTGGACGTTCTTCCAGTACTGATAGATCTGCGGAGGTTTCTGGAACAACTCAGCCTGTCTGACAACCCTGGTGGAGCCAGTAATACATCAGGTGTGGCTGAAGTATGCCTGGTGGAACTCGTGCCAGAAATACGTGAGGCTTTGTGTAAAAAGTGAGTATTTATTTACTTGACCTTGACCCTACTGGTAAAATGTTCTATGGTCCTCCACTATGTCCGTAATATTCTAGCGTCCTTGAAGCAGATATTGTTTGCGTATACTTACGTCCAGTCGTAGATGATCACGCTAGAGTGTATGTTTATGAGTCAGTCTGGGTCTTTCTCAATGTGCGACGTACTTCTGAAATTCACTTTTGTTGGTTATCCTGTTTTGTGTGTCATAAGATGACGCACAACGGAATTATTAATGGAGCTGGGCTATTTCATTGAAAGACGCTTGATCCTATTCTAGACTAGAACCAATTGGAGCAGGATGGACAACTGAGTTGTTCAAAGTTCGAACAGTTTGTAATTTTAAGTTACGGGCCTTGAAGCTTAACAAGTAACGTTCGTCTTGTGCTTCGGTAGGCTGTTCCGAACCCGAGTAATATACGACTCTACCACGTGTTGCCACTTGGCCGAACTTTACTACTGGGTGTTATGTTATAGCAGACCGTCTTGGAATAAAGTGCTTTCATCAGCACTATAAGGCGTGGGAACAATATTCCTTGACCATCCACCGCTTTAGTGCTGCAGTTCGTGTAGGCTGGTGTCAAATAATCTGCAATAGCTGAGTCGATCGTTAGGTAGGGAATTCAGCTGAAGGAACTAAGGTGGCTGGATTATACATCGCATGTGCCGACTCATCCTATGTCAAAAACTACTGTTTCCGTGTTGAATTCTATGCGCCAGTAGAGGGCTGGTAAACCATCGGTCTATAGGTAAGATGAGAAAACGAAAAAAAGTCTGGGTACTGCCAGTGTGACCCATATTTCAGGATAGCCGCTGGTGTGAACCTCCTTGCGCTCAACTGGAGATGCTGCAGGATACGACCGCTATGGCAGCGGTGTTCCTGTAATTCATTCCTGGCCAGATTGAATTAATAAGTGGAGCTGAAGGCACCTCAGAGTGCTTGTAGCGGGCTAGCACTGGCTCCATTCCTTCTAACTTTTTGTGTTTTTCTCACGACGAGGATTCCAAATAAGTCATAAAACTACAGCAATGAATCATTGGTGATATGTTTCCAACACTGATGACACAGCGAACAGGTGGGTAGGTAGGAACTTGTAACCCATTTTCGTGTACGTCCTATTGGCGAGCGGCCCCTTAAAAGTTTTCTGGTCTGATCTGAACAAACAACCTGTGTTGCGCACAGGTCTGGAGATCTGAAGACATCCGGTTATAGTTAGCATCATTCTGTCTAAAAGTGAACAATATCTCTGTTGTCACCCTACCAAAAGTGGTTCGTACTGGTTGCTGGGTCTGGACGTCAGGAACTAGCAGTTTACTTTTTACCTGTTTCTCACCACAATATTTGCGGGAACCCATACGGTTTCCAAATACCACCACCAAAGTTTGACGCTTGATAATTTGACTCTGATCTTTTTATTTTACAGCCGTATCCATCGGCTATAATTTCTATCAGTTGTTTCAAATTCAACTGGCTCACGTTTCATAGCCACCGTCAAAATAACCTGTTTGATGGGAGCATATAACAAAAATTAATACTCGCCTGTCTAATCATCGCCGACATCCAGGACAGATGGTGTAATTAATATGATACAGTAAAGGCCACGATATACTACAGCGATTTCCGATTAAGATCTTGTTAAAAAGAACCTGTCCAGAGGAGAACGGGCAGACCATATCGGAAGCGTCCCAATACTATCACCGTAAAAAACTAAATCGGTATACTACGCGCGAGCTTGTCATTAGAATGTAGAAGGACAGCTTGAGGAAGCTATGGTAATGCAGGAAGGAGGGTCCAGTGCAGATTGATCTAAACCAGGCAAAGGATTGTTAAAATTAGTCCTCGGAGGCGCACTCTGGAATTTCAGACGTCTCTTAACAGAAGTGGGCAAATAACCAGACTGGAACCTCAATAAAGCGAACTTTAGGAGAGCAGAAGAAAGTTTGTTGTCACGAACCGCATCATGGAGCGAATCATAGGGAGTCGTCACTCGAGGAGCCAACCAATACGTGCAACCGTGTGATTTAGGTCCCGTGACTGAGGGATAATTGGTGCTATATCCTAAGTGCGAGTTAATCAGACTGCCGACCAGCCACTCATGGCCGAGCGGTTAAGAGTCCAAACTTGTAGCCATAAGGTCACGCGTTCGAGACTGTCTGGATTTTCGTGAGCTGCGTAGTGCCGGTGATTCTCAATACAGGTTAAACAGCTGTACAGTTTTTCTCAGCCTTTCAGCAATGGTTAGCCTCACTGACAGGACGAAATCTCCACTAAAATTCCAGAATCCTCTCACACTCATCATCTCACTCTACCAACAGCGAGAATCTTCCATCACGGTAATAGCCAAGGCTTAAATATTTTAGGTTCCAGCGTCGTCTAAATGAACATAGACTAGAACACAACCATTGCCGTAAACCGGCTGTCATATTGCAGCGTTCTCTTCTCTGCCTTCTGCAGCCCACGCCCCTCTAAGTGTAATTCGGCTTCATCCACATGCTTTTGTTCTAGAAGATTCTAAAATTACCGTGTGGTCAAACCAACCGATGTGTTTTCGTGCAGCGCAGAGAGAACAGCGATCATCCTCCTATATTAGTGCTCCAAAAATGATGGACAATCATTCAGAACCACTTACTGCCATAGCTAAGCTACTTAATCATAGATGACCTCTTTTATGTCTAAAAGGACGTCATATTGTCCGAAATATCATTGGATTAGCAACGTACCTCGTTAGGCATCTACTGGAGGCATATTCTGTGCACGTGCACGTAACTCGCCGGATAACCATCTGAAAAAATACTGCGTTTATAAACAAGGCTGATCAAAGCTCGAAAATAACTCACTGCCGGTGTCACGTTATTTGGACATCATTCGGTTGGTCTAAACCTTGCATTCCAATAAGTTTATTTTCTTATCACACTTTCATCCTGCTAACTTCACTACCGCACTTGATGAACGTGTGTGAAAACAAGCAGACAGAAGTAATCAGAAATGTGGGAGGACTACCGCTATTTACACATCTTTCCTATCGGCTTTCTATAGGTATGCCAAGAAGTGGAAGCAGACATGCCGGACTTTTCGAGAGCTCATTGAGTCTGAACGGGGCCGACAAGCATCTCGACGTGCAGCTACGCAATGGTCTGACACATTCTCCGAACAACATATGGAAAAGTTGTTTGCATCAATGGGAGATGGAGTGCTTGATGGGACAGCGAATCCCCTCGGAAATGCGCCCAAATGTGTTGTTTGTGGAGCAGATGCTCCGAAACGTTGCTCTCGTTGTCGTCAGGAATGGTACTGTAGAAGAGAATGTCAAGTGAAACACTGGCCAAAGCACAAAAAGGCATGCGACCTTTTGTATAATTCAGAAAAAGCATAATAAAGCGCATAATGACATCAAATCATTCTAAATCCTATTCCTTCATTACCAACAACAAGTCTCGTAGGAACAACTGGTTGTTGCATCGTTTCTAAGCGAAGAAATTATTCAGCTGCAAAAATCGATGGACCGCACTTTTGCAGTGAACATCCTGCCCTTAACAAACATACTGACGTCACTTCGGCGCTATAAGTTTTGGAGAGGGCGTGAAGGCTCAGTGGCTAGAGCGCGAATTTACTGATCGGAAGGTCCGTGGTTCGAACCCGACCTCTGCCTCTCGACTTCCCCTGTCTAGGCTTGGGCAACCTGGCAATATCCCAGTCCTTCCTTCCTTCTAGTGGGATGGCAGTTAGGCATCGAAAGGGTGCTAAAGCTGAGCGATAGCTGTTGAGAAAATCTGCTCTGTTCTTCCAGACCAGAAAAGTAACCCCGTCTCCAGTCGGTCAACCAGAACTTAAATAACTTCCCAGGTAAACAAATGCATCTACCAACGAGCCCCGGCAGAAACATCTGCTTGTCCAAAAGGGGTAACTCAGGTGTTCCAATGCATGAAGATGGGCCCTGACAATATGGAGACTCGAGTTCAGAGCCTATCCACGCTTGTGTGGACAAACGAGGATTAATGCGCCAAGACTGTTCGAAAGAGTGATGTGTCATTTGTTAGGTTGTTCATTATGACATATAATCTATCCCAACCGCAAGTCTTTAAGCCAACAAGTATGAAAGGGTGTATGGAAGATAAAATCGTTCTCCGAAAAATACAACCAAACAGGGTATTTTGTTCGATTCATTCCTAAGGAAGCAGAGAGAAACTTCTGACCAGACCTTACTTCTTCGATATTGTCTTTTAGTTCCTTTACCTTTCAACTTACAGATCACTACTAGGTAGATCCTGGGTCTAGAGACGTTATTCTTGCATCCAATGAAGTGGCCTATAACATGGCCACGCCGGCCTCTACACTCACTTTCCGGGCCTGGCTAGCCTGGTTTCAGAGGAGCCAGCATGTTAACGGGCTCCAATACCGAGCAATGCGGTACTTGCCAATGCAGAGTGACTGCAGTGCCGAAAGCAGAATACCATACCCACGTAAAATAACCGAAATTACGATCCTTCCGTTACCTAGGCACTACAGACTACGAATTCGGGTGACTCTACAGCTGTCACACTGGACGATGCTAACATTGCTACAGCTTTCAGTCCCTGAGATAACGTCCCTTTATTTGATAAGCTACTCAAAAACAGTCGTGTCTCTATCGTTATGCCTTCATATTCCATAAGAAACTGCACTAGCCAGAGTACCCTTCATTCTTTTTATTGGTTGGCTCAGTTCTGACTCTGCAAAGGATATCCTTATTGAGAACTTGCTGCCATGCTATCCAAATGAATAGTTTATAAGTTATTTTAATCACCGGTCTGGAAACAATTAGGACATCTCAGCTTGTTGGATGAGTGACTTGGCGGCCTGTTTAGATTGAACTCGTGTACTTATGATGACGAACGTCTTTTGCAGATTTGTACGGATCGCTAAATACACTTCGTAGTAAGTGTTTGGGAGCAGTAGTTCCGTCTCGTCACTCCTACCAGTGGACCACCATTAGTGCAGGTTAAGTATCCTACCATACCCTACCGATGTTGAGGCTCCATTTTCAATTGTCGATGTTTTTGTAGCACCCATCTCTAGTCAGGTGCGACTTTTCGATCAGCATAGGCTGCTGCAACAGAACATTCATTCTGTTCCACACGTGTGCCGAAACGCTCACGCGATAAAATGACTATTTTGGAGCTGAATCATAGCGGAGCGACACGTAGTAAAAGTCTAGGCCATTTCTACATCAATAGGACTGCATCATATCGTCAAAACGAAATACATCGATCAGGAAGGGGGAAACAAGATAATTGTGGACCTGGACTTAGAGGCAGTAATCAGGGTGTCCACGGCTAGCTCGTAAGGACAATACGGAAGAACCTACCTATTTCCGGTACACCTGTGCGGCAGTACACGTCCACGGAGTCATCAAAGACAGCAACATCAGTGTTGACACTAATGCTTAACTGTCATGGGGTGGTCGATTTTCAGGCCAGTAAGTGAACGGATTTCATTGGTCCAAAAACTTCCTTTAAAATGTGTTATCAGATAATCTACTGTGGCTAAATGGTACGAGATATGTAGAAAATCGATGCGGCTTGATGAGACCCTCAAAAGAGAATTTTAATCTAGAACAAAGACGCTTGTTGGAATTAAGGAAGCGAATGATGGATTGATCATTTGGTCTACATGCACAGTAGCTGGTGAGAAGCCGAAGCTCATCCTCAGGAAAACCGAATACCGTCGGTGTTTCGGAGACATGAACCTGTTTCACCTTGCTGCTAAATTTGCAAAAAGGGAGCCCGTACAACAAGAGAAATCGTTCACATGGCTAAGACAGAAAACAGGGAACAATCGTGGTGTTGGATTATCCTACGGCATATGCAGCTTTGGACCTCACTAATATTAAGCCGGGTTTTCCGTCAGCACACAAAGCTACGTTACAGCCACTCGAAACAGAGAGCATTTGTGTTGTAAAATTGGGATACGGAAGGCTGTTTGTGTTCGTAGCCAGAAAATTCCGGCGACTTGGCCAAGGATTTCCACCGAGCATATTTTGAATACTTGGTTATACATGGTTTTTAGATCCCATTCTGTAGACCATACACTACTGGGAAAAGTTATGATGACTAGGTCAAATTGTCTTCATAACTATGGTATGAACAAAGGGGAATTCGGTTAAAAATACATGAAGTGTACCGGTGAGGTCAACAATAAAACGTCTGCGTGTCGCAGCTTTTGCGAGTCTTGAGTGAGTGACGAATTGACCATAGAAAAGTTAGCACAGATTGGCTCAACTTACAGACGACATACATGCGAACAAATCAGCTATGGAGTATCCAATAGATGTTGTCAGTGAAGTGAGCCAATGCAGCTAGAACTACACTACTGAAAAAGCGGTGAGCCCTGTTAAGTACATTCGAATGTCAGCACTAAAGTCATCTTGGCAGAACGGGTCAGAGAGTAACAGGGATCAAAGCTAACACAGTTGAACAATGGTAGAATAGTGAAACGAACCATTCTTCAAATAAACTCTGGTTATGAAAGCGTTTCACACCCAGTGAGTGCAGCGAAAATGAGACTCCCTACACGAAAGAAGGACTTGTGGACCCTGTGGGTGCTCCTCTAAACGGTCAGTCGCTTTACTAAATACGGCATCACGGTTTTGCGTACGGTGATGGCGAAACAATGTGCGGATTTTAATTAGTTTCAGTGACCAGCCTGGTAAAGCTCGAGCATAGTTTTTCAAGTTCGTTTGACCGGTTCTTGCTCTGGTGAGTTGGATCATCGACGACCTGAACAACTACTATCTTGCGTACAACTTATCACGCGCTTTTTGCATCCTTCCACGAAGAGAGTAAATATGTACCCATAACTTTGTGTTAGCTGAGTTGCACGCAACCTCGGTAGAACTAACTCCAATTGCTCTAGTGCTAACCCGCGCCTTAGTTCAGAACAACAGAGGGAAGACACAGCTGTCATGACGTCAGCCATCTTGAGAAAAATCGTCACATTATCCTTCGGGCATCCATATTTTTTTCATAACATCTTAAAAACAATTCAACAGAAATGTCAGTGCCAAAAGAAAGTAGCGAAGCTAAGCCGTCCCAAGAGGTACACAATCTATGGCCGACTACAATCCTTAAGATGTCTAGACATTGTATTATGTTTGGATTTCTGGCAGGACAGACCAAGACTTTTGTTGGCGCGCAGGTCAGTCAGAGTACCATAACAACAACGCCACAATAATTGCCGGATGATTACCTCGGAATGACATTGTTAGAAATCCAATCCACATTAATTTGACAAGGACGACGTTGTGTAGCTAGCAGTAGCTCGTGGACCACTTTTCCGTCAGTCCTCATTCATTGTAAAACCTACCGTCTTACCTGCGTCAATCATGTCTCAATGGTTGACCTCAACCCACTATAGGATCTTCAGACCAACATTTTCTTGGTCAGAAAACTCAAGATGGAGCGCACTGTTCATCCTCACCTTACATTCAAACATCCTGCGGAGTGGTACCTTAAAGAATTTGTTGGTTGCTCTAAATAACTGATTAGGTAGTCTAATTGGCATCACAAGATGCTTTCCGGAAGCCGTCAGCATGTACAGTAACGCTTGTGTGGAACAGTGGTGTTTCACTGTTGCACAACCGTGTCAATTTGTTTAAACAAAGGCCTACACGGGGAACACTACTCCGTATGCACAATGCAACACACCCAAAACAATAATGGCGAATCTATTATACATTGTGTCCATAATCAGGCTATGTAGTTTGTATTGGGATTTGCACATGCAGAGAGGATACGTTTCGAATCGGATGAACAGAACTTTGGTATGGAAGCATCCCATCTATCTCTCTCTGAAGATTTCCTCGGAGCATTTTCTCCTTGAAGTCAGTATCACAGTATCTTGAAGTAGGAGCACGGAATAAATTGAACTGTTATCCGTAAATCACTCACCAATCTTCGCCTACAAGGTGAGCTTATGGTGATCTGAAACAGGAACAAATGTTTAGTTAAAGTAGGTCACGTAGTTGAACAGCTAACCGAACAGTACGACCTGACTGGGCGAAAACTCTACTCAGTAACCATCATGACTATCAGCTATAAGAACCGCGCAGTTGTCACACGTTCGTTATAGCTACCGCAGTTTTGCTCAAAGAAGATTTGGAGAGGTGAATAGCATAGTGCAATATTGCCACAAAGTTTCAGAACTTCGCGGGTGTTTCATACAGCAGCTCATACATTTTTGTACAATCAAGGCGTATCACAAACTACCTGCTCCATCACAATTTCGAAAACCACAACTATACAGTTTATTGGATACCATTTGGGATGCAAAAACACGAAAGCAAACAACATGCAGGAAATTCCAAACATGAATAAAAGACAAGCGTGTATCAAACCAATAGCATCAAGAAGCCGAATTTCCACTGCGCACATTCTCACTACCAATATGTTCTGAAGTCGAATTGGCAAAGGACTGTTGCACAGCTTCCAACATAGGACTTTGATCATGCAAATAAATGGTCAACACGCGATTAGCGTAGTAGCTGCCATCTAACTCCAAATTGCGGATCACTTCATCAAGAAGGTGGGCACGGCCAGTTCGTGTGCCACCATCATCCGCCGCGTCTACGTGGACAAAATGCACGTGAAGTCGATAAAATGTGGGCGGATAATGAACATAGGCCATAATTTGATCCTCTCTTATCGGTCCTGGAGTTGGGGCATCAGCAGAATACTTCTGGGACAATATTCGACGTCCCTCTACAAGGATCTTCTTGAGCATGGGGATGTGCGTTGATCGCAGATCACGTAGACACGTTAACTGGGGATCATGAGCAATGCCCAAACAATGCATTTCCTGGATTCTTTTTTCATTCCAGCGGTAGTCCAAAACTAGGGTAAATCCGTAATCGTCACTTAGGTCGGTCGTAAACAAGACACGATCACGCTCCGCTTTGCCAGTGAGAATATTATCGACCCAACTCAGATCACGTGGAGTCTTGGAAAGAAAAGGGACGATTACAGATGAATACAGTTCCGGGGTTTCTTGAATCATGTGGCGGCCAGATTTTGTATATCGTTTGAAATGGTGAGGTCCAGCAGGATGGATGACAGTCATATCAACCTCATTAAGTGATTCCAATCCGGCTGTGACCAGAAGACGATGGTAGACATCGTTACTCAGAATGGACGTCGCCTGCCAGCACGGAAACGTAGTGATTGTAGGATTACTGGGATCCGGGTTCACCTCGGATTCCGTTGAATGATCACTAGATGCAAGAAGCTTGTGTACAAGCTTACTCTGTTGTAGTACTTTTGGATCGGTTGGAAAAGGCGCTTTCTTTAAGATGACGATACCATCTTTGTCTGGGCTATCTTCGAAACGGGTGTGAAGGATCAGACAATTCGAACGCGAATCACTACTTAGCACAGAGACTAAATGCATGTTTTCCGGACAAAAACTCTTCGAGATGAACGCTGAATCATCCTTCAACGTTGAATTATTGGCAAGCACGTCCTCGAAACGAGCACGTTTTTCTGGTTGGCTTGGTGAATTATCTGCCGGAGTTAGTGAATCACTTCGGCGTTTTGGCGTATCGGTCATTTTCGGTGACGGCCACTAGGGGAGATATTAATTGCAGCGCTATTAAGTCCGATTCTCGAATTCGCGCCTTGGTCAATGTTCCTAGAGGCGTTTCCAATTCCTGCACACAGATAACCCCGTCCGCACTGGCGTCAGCAGACTCCGAAGTTCGCGATAACAGCAGCGCTGGGCACCAACAGTCGAATTTGGCACGAACAGGTTCGGCCAAGTCCGCAAGGTGCAGTAGAACAGGTCTGTCGGAACCGGCCAACGATCGAAGGACTTTCAGATAACGTACTCTCAGTACAGTGGTATCGTCACTAAAGTCCAAATGTCGGTCAGCTGCGGAGTTCATTCAACCAATATACACAGTCAGAGGTGAGCGTGATAGTAATGTAACAGGAGGATCGTAGTAGGGTGTCAGCAGGGTAGAACCGTCGGCAGGTCCGACAATCTGAAAAAAGGTTTAGATGACCGAGTCAGTAAAGAAAGGGTAAATATGTACAAATGATTGTAGGCAAAACAATCTGGCCAAATCATAACGTGCAATCAAGCAAGCACGTGGTCTAAATAACAACATATTCGTCGATATACACTGCTGTACTGTGTAGTAAAGAAGGCTAAACAGAGGTTCAGTTCCAATATACGGTAATCAATTGGAAATAGGATACACGGGATTGCACCTCAATAACAACCCACAGCACCTTGTGCGTAGTTCTTTAAATTAGCTTGGTCAGGGAGACGCACGATACTGCCCCGAACCTTCATTGATCACAACAGTTTACTCTCTAAGGCGATGTTTCAGTACGCAATTCTTAACTCTTAGGGTAAGAGGGTCACAACTAGTTCTACTAGATTCTTTAATGTGATGAGAACATGACGACCTACAAGAATTCACCAAGCCACAGCTGGGACTTTTGTGAGGAGAGGCTAACCAAGTAAGCAGTAAGGTGCTACAGTAGCTCTCAACAAGGACTGTTGCTCTGTTCGCTAAGCTTGACATTTTGTTTGTAAACGTTTCGCCACCAATCGAAGTGACATCAGCAGTGCGTAGTAGAAGGAGTCTGTCTATCTGGGGGACAATCGAGTAATTGTCCACATCAACGGTTTAAACAACAAGGGCGGTGAACTACTGTCAAAGACACGCTACCGAAAATTTCACTGTTTATCAGTTTTTATCCACGTGACAACTAAACAATTCGGCATAGTAGCACGAAGGATAACGAGACAAATCCGAGCTTGTTCGTTCATGCGGTGCTTTCAAACAGCTGACACTTCTAAGAAGAGAGACCTGTTCCCATGCGAGACGCAAGACGCCATACAAGTGTGGTCCTCAGGGAAATCGAACAACCAGATCACTCAAAGCTTCAACCAATCCGTGGTTTAATAAGCTCCTGACAAAATAGGTGGCGCTCTGGGTCTTTAAGAGGTGAGTTTGACAATAAAATAGTCTATAAGCAGTTCGATAACTCATAAAATGGATACGACAAACTCGATGACCCAGCAAATCAACAGCTACGAGTAAAAAATGACCCGACGAGGTATTTCTGAAGAAGGCACAGAAAACAACACTCATCTCGGTAGACGGTGTTCGGACATGGGAAGCACGCAAATATTGGGACTGTCTTAAACCATTGCATCCCGGGATATCGGGCAAGTGCGCACCCGTTTACATCACATCAAATGATCGGCTCAAAAAAGACAAACTAAAATCTAACGGACATTTGAACGCAGAAACGGTTGAATAGAAACGAGAACTCATATGCAAATGAGCTGCGAACAGGAATCATAGAAAACGCGAGAATAATCACCGTCAGAGTAGCAATCTACCAAAGGGCTAATCACTCTATTCGAAAACGTTATTTTCAGCTATATTCCGTACACAATATGCTCACCTGAAGTATATTCACTGGGACGCTCAGAACAGATTCTACGATAAACTGATTTACTGAAAATATTCATTCTTGGTTGCACTCGATAGACTATTCAAAACGATGTGCGAATCCAAGTGATGTAAACAACTACTGTCCGAAAATCAATGGAAGCAAACAAACAGTGAAAGACCACAACTGAAAACAATCCTGTATTCTCCACTCCTAGTCCAGAGCACATTCGGTGGACGAACAGTTAAACATGCCGTACACGTGCCCATTCAGTCTAACTTTCATTCAAACATCATTCACGCTGTCAGATTTGTCACACATTCACCCAGCCATTACCAACGTTGAAATGGTCTCCTTGCAGGTCGGTGAAGAAATGATACCAGAGAATCTCTACCGATACACTGAAGCAGTCTTCGCCGAAACACAGTCCACCTCGACCACTTTTTATCTATCGCATCTCATAACTTCAAATCCCCTGATTCACTTCCAGAGACCTCACCAAAGATTTTCTTTGTTGAAACGGTCTTCCCGGATGGAGAGATAGAAAGAAATAGTGCCAATTCCTACGTTAAAACTGGTCTGGACTACTCAAAGGTAGTAGATGGTCGGATGTAATATTGAATGCACGACAAAAACCGCTGTTGCAGTTTTTATGTCCCATGGCTATATGTGGGCTGGCGGTATCCGAATGTTGTAAGAGTATTGACGCTTCTTCTGAATGTATGAACATTCGAACGTTCTCGATTTCATGCATCTGGATCCTGTAGCATGCGGTATGCGTACTGAAACAGCTTAACAAAGTGTAGTGGGTTCCATCGATGGTTACTGCCAACAAGTATGACAAACAGCCGCTGATTTTAGGCTTGTATAACGTGAATAAACGACACCTATGTTCATCATAGGGGAAGCGGCAGATGGCACCGTTCACTCGTGCTCAAGTGTTAGACTGGCGTGCGCGTATGAGGGAAAGGCTATCTTGTCTATGGTATAGCAACCGTGGATTGTAGAGAAAAAAGCTGCATACTGCATATTCCGCCAATTTTTCAACCAGATACCGGATAAGTGCAGTAAACGGGAACGCTAGCTGGCTGCATTTTGTCTCGTTGCGAATGCAATCTAGAATAGCCATCCCCCAGGAGCAGACTCCGATTCCTGGAGATTCGTGACAAAACAAGTTCTTGAATACATTGACCACAAACATTCTAACTATCGACAAGCTTCCGAATTGCGCCGGATGCATCTCTTGTGGATTGTTAGAATTACACCAACCATGCTCAACACTCACTGAGAATGTAGTGATATATGGCGTCACCTATTTTTTTTTGGAAACTGAAATGAAAGATTGACAGGACGTACTAATCATAAGATTGCTTAAAACTCCTTAGTAGTCCATTGCCAGTTTCGGACTTCTTGATGCTCATCAGGTTTCCTTCGTCAAGAACTGAATCCATCGGCTACATGGCAGGGTGTTTTCGAACGGCTTATCACGTTGACGTTATTGATATTTGTGTGGGTGTTGAAGTGAAAGGGTTTAATGCTGGTCAACGGCAACCATCGCACGTTCCTGTACTCTCAAAGCTCGGTTAGACTGTCTGGATACAAAACTAGTAGCATGATTACTCTTAGAAACGATCGGATGTTAGATCTTGCATTGCATATGGCTAGATGCAGGCAGGGTTGCGCGGACCTTATCCTGGAGGGCATATCCAACCTGCAACCACTGGATCTTCCGCAATCTTCTTCACTCCTTCTAAAACACTGAATTCAGCACAAAAAACAACTCATCGGTCAACGATACTCTGGTATTCGTAGCATGTGACCAATTCACGAAAGTTTGTAGCATTCGATGAGATCCTGAAATGCCAATTATTCATAAACCAAAACCTGCATAGTGGTTTGGAGTTCGCTGGCACGTTCTGCTCTGTCTATTTGCATGCAGCCCTGCTACCGACTGAGCAGACATTTCTGGAAGTTACTGTCAGTATGTACTGGTATATCATTGAAGTGCTGCCCCTCAGAGTCAACGGCAATTGTTATTTCTGTGTGTAATTCTAGAGCGGCACAGGGTGACCATTTTTCACCATCATCATCAGAGACAGCAACATCAGGGCCGAAACTGATGTTGAACTTTGAAAGTACGAGGCGCATGCCGAAAGATAGTCGGACGGTGGTCAATCTATTCAAGTGGACTTGTGTTTCCCTTTGGTCGGCAAATAAAAGGGTGACTTCATCGGCTTACTACAGACTGTCAAGGTTCTCACCAGCAACGATTTGAACACCAAGGTTTTGAAAGCCTCCCAGCGTCGGCATCAACGACGAAGTCGAACAAGAATTGAAGGAGTAAATACCCTTGTCAGATACCACTCTCACGCCCAGAAGTATGTGAATATAGGGATACATTATGCTCATCGGTCAACGATACTCTGGTATTCGTAGCATGTGACCAATTCACGAAAGTTTGTAGCATTCGATGAGATCCTGAAATGCCAATTATTCATAAACCAAAACCTGCATAGTGGTTTGGAGTTCGCTGGCACGTTCTGCTCTGTCTATTTGCATGCAGCCCTGCTACCGACTGAGCAGACATTTCTGGAAGTTACTGTCAGTATGTACTGGTATATCATTGAAGTGCTGCCCCTCAGAGTCAACGGCAATTGTTATTTCTGTGTGTAATTCTAGAGCGGCACAGGGTGACCATTTTTCACCATCATCATCAGAGACAGCAACAACAGGGCCGAAACTGATGTTGAACTTTGAAAGTACGAGGCGCATGCCGAAAGATAGTCGGACGGTGGTCAATCTATTCAAGTGGACTTGTGTTTCCCTTTGGTCGGCAAATAAAAGGGTGACTTCATCGGCTTACTACAGACTGTCAAGGTTCTCACCAGCAACGATTTGAACACCAAGGTTTTGAAAGCCTCCCAGCGTCGGCATCAACGACGAAGTCGAACAAGAATTGAAGGAGTAAATACCCTTGTCAGATACCACTCTCACGCCCAGAAGTATGTGAATATAGGGACTACATTATGCTCACAAGATTCTGGGGCATACCATGCTGGGCAAGTGTGGTTAGCATCACTGAGTGATTGACAGAATCAAACCCATTCATGAAATTAGGGAAGACCAAGACCGTGGGTC